AATAATCAATTTGAAATTCTTTTAGTCAACATATTATAATTAACATATTATATTTTTTAAAGATTTTTTTAATTATATTATAAAATATTATAAATGATTAATTTTTTAAATTTTTTACTTTGATAATTTTACATGTTTATAAGCTAGTTTTGTCAAAAATAATTTATTTATCAATTAGCTGATCAATTACCCGTTAACTTATCAGTCATCAGCCAGTTTATCAACTAACAACTAGTTTATCAGTCATATATAGCTTATCAAAATAGCCGTTTACACATCAACATGAAAACTTATTTTGTATATCACTGATATATGATTTAATCTGATTTTAATATTTTTGTAAATAGTAATCCCTTATCAAAATTGATGGAGATATTATAGTAACCAATTAATTAAGCAATGACTATTTTGTACGAGCCATAAAAAATGGATAATATGAATGGACAAAAATTGTTGAATTGAAGTTTTTGGACAGCGATAAGCAGACGAAAAGGCAAAATATAAATCTACAAAATCCAAATTTCTACTTTTTTACTTTAAATTCGATTATTAAATATTTGTTAAATTCGTCTTCTAAATTTTTTATTAAACGATTTTGATTTTGATTTATTTCAAAAGGAAATTACAAAAATTTTAATTGCGTCAAAAAAATTTGTTTTTTATATGGTTGGTTTAAAATAATGTAGGAGACGTTTACCAAATACTTACCCGGTAAGCGTTTATCGGTAAATTTAACAATTTCATTTACTTACCGGATAAGATTTTAGTCCATCAAAATAGTATCGTTTGCAACAATTTACCCGGTAAGCGCTTACCGTGGTAAGAGTTGTCACCCTCACTTACCAGATAAGAGTTCTGGTCCTTGTCTCGTTCTTACTAGGTAAGATTTTTTAACTTTATCATATTCATCCGGTAAATTAAAATAACTTGGTGTTCACTTACCTGGGTAAGCGTTTGGTAAACGACTTCGTATTCTTACAACAATATAAGAGATTCTTTATAAATTTTTTAAAACACATATTTAAAACTAAAAATCTCTAAAAAAACAATATCTAAGTACTTTAATATATTATTTATTTTATAAATTTCAATGTCGATTAAATTATTAAAATATTATATAATTTTATTATCCATGTTTATATGGTCCTCTTTTGTGGGTTTTCGTATATCCAAATATTTATATATCAACTAAAGAAAAACACTTTAATATATATATATATATATATATATATATATATATATATATATATATATAGAGGGTATATTTCTTTTACAATCTTGTGTATTTGTACAACCCTTACAACCCAATTAATTGAGATATTTATAGAAATGATGGAAGTTCATTTATTATGATTTGAATATTTATGGAATATTTATGATTTGAATATTTATGGAATATTTATGATTTGAATATATATATATATATATATATATATATATGTGTGTGTGTGTGTGTGTGTGTTTTATATAAGCAAGTACAGAAGGGAGATGGCATTGGGGTCCTATATTTAAGGGGTGTTTGAGATTGCTTATTTGAAATAACTTATGTTTTTCTATATAATCACTTATGAACTTATTATAAATCAGAAATCTTTAACTTCTTCAAAGACTCATTATTATTGATTTGACACCAATATAAGTTGTTTATCCAAACACTTAAAAGTGTTTATTACCGATATCATATCAGAATAAATCAATAAGTTGTTTTTATAAATAATCTCATACACCCCTTTGTGTTTAAAACGTAGGAATGTATGATATGCTTGTAAATGGGAAATTAGAAGGAAAAGAAAGCAAGTAACCAGCAAAAAAGTCTTCATTTATCATCACCAATTAAATAACTTGTAAGTCTTCATTTATTTGCTCTAATCAAATATCAATTTAAATGATCAATAAATAAATATGTATACATGAAATATTATTTATTGATGTATATTGTTTAAAATTCAAGATTACAAATAAATTATACATAAGTACAATTTATTAAAGATCAATTTTTGAATTCGTGTAACTAACTGCAGATAATCAAAATCAAATTCAGGATAAACATCTCATTCTAAATATAAAAATTTTAAAATATAATCAGGTTAATTATTGAGATCTAACAGAATACTTATTTATTATCTTTATAAAAAAATCTAAAATATAATTAGGGTAATTATAGAGCTCTAACAGAATACTTAATTATTATGTATTTATAAAAAATATTATTAAACCAAAAATAAATTACTTCATTATTAAATACAAAAATAAAAAAAATACATAAAAACGAGAATTTTCAGATTGTTAATTTAACACTAACATTGATATAATATTTTCAAAATTTTATAATATTTTCAAATATATTTTTTATTTAAAAATAAAAACATTATCGCTATATGAAGAAAAAAAATTAAAATAATGATATATCTCACTACATTGAGGAAGTATCATTTTAGTTCACTTTTCAAATTACTCAACACTTGAAAATATCATATACTGTAATAATCTACTTCATTTATATAACCAACTCAAACTATTTCAGTAAATTTAACTCGTATCTGGAATGATATAATGTATGTTAATATTTCTTTTATATAGTCTATAAAATAACAGTTTTTGTAAATATTTTTAGGTTTCAAATATGATTTCAATTAGTAAAAGAAAGAAAGTTTGTGATTTTTTTTGTTCTAAGAGGCATAAAATATAACATTGTCCCACGCCGTTTTTAGATTTTCTACAAAAATATTTATCAACTTATTATAAGTCAGAAGGGTTTAACTTATTTAAAAACTCTTTATTACCGATTTGGCACAGGTATAAGTTGTTTATCCAAACACTCAAAAATGCTTATTATCGTACCACACCAAAATAAGTCAATAAGTTATTTTTATAAGCAATCCCAAACATCCAATTAATTAAAACCAAAAAATGAAAAATAAATAAAATAAACTCTCTTAATTTGGTGAAATAAATTGGTTCTTATCTTTGAAGCAAGTAGACAAATCATTTAATATATAACTATACCGTCTATTACAGCTTTCTATTCTATTATTTTTGAAAACATCTGTTTTTTTTTATCTATACTATCTTATAAATCAGATTTATTAAAAGTCATAAAAAATAATTTTTAATACATAAAGTACTATACATTTATGCACAAAGTCTTAAAAACAACTCACAATGCACTAAATACTACTACTTTATACATTTAGTCTTAAAATATCTTAATCTACAATTAAAATAACATATATTGCAAGTTACCAATGCACATTATTACCTTTTATTTTCATGTTCCCAAGATACTTTTGACACTTTTCACTTATGCATTCACCCTCTCATACCTCTATGTCTTCTCCACATCTCCCAATGTGAGATTTAAACTGAGATTCATCGTGAGTTATTAAAATTTCTCACATTCATCTCCCATTCAATTGTTCTAGGACTCTCGGTCTCGATCTCGATCTCTTGATTCTTTGCTCTTGGTGTAAATCGAACACATTTGTAAACTTTTTTAAATTTGTTGGATTTTAAATATATTGGATTTTAAACTGTTATCCAATTTTTTTCATCGATAGACTGTAATTGGAACCATAACTCTTATTTATTCAAATTCCATTAATATGTAAAGACCAAGTGTAACTTATATCATCGTTACATCTTCTACTAATAAAACCAGTGAAACTTCAGAATCGTTAAAATTCACGACTCCCACGCAATACAACTAATTCCTTCTAAAATTGTGTTAAAAACGCAGCTATTTCATATATTTAATATCTGTGAGTGTTAAATTAAAGTAATAAAACTACAAGGGTGGTGCCTAATTGGTTTAAGCTTTGACTCCAAAGGTCAAAAGTGCCTTAAGATCCCAAGTTCAAATTCAAAGACGAATAAAAATACCGTTGTGGCCATGGAGGTCAACAAACTATTTTTTTTCCCATAGAATACGTTTAAAAAAGTCTGACATCGCAAACCAAAAATGGCTTACGATGTGAGACTTATGATTCAACCGGGTAAAATTGAAAAAAGAATTGGTGGCTAGTTTTAAAAAAGATAACCCAAAATGTCTATTTAGGTTTATTCGACCTTAAAAGTATGTGTTAGAAGTTTGCATGAAGTTTTGATACAAGCTTCTAGATGCATTACGTAAGTAGCTTCTAGAAGCACTATGTAAGCATTGACGTGGAAAAAAAAACAGCAACGCATAATTTGTGGATTACAATGCTAATACGAATTTCGATTACAAACAAAAAATAATTTTGGCATCTAAAGGGAGATTACACTCTTAACTCTATTGCAATCATTATTTTTTTTATTTAAATATTTGTATCTATATACTATTTTATAAACCAGATTTAAGAAAAATCTTAAAAACAAACTTAAATGCATAAGGTATTATTTTTTATGCAAAAAGTCTTAAAAACAACTTCTATTTATACTACTTTATCAAGTAGATTTGAGAAAAGTTTTAAAAACAACCTTACATGCATAAAATACTGTTTTTTTTATACATGAAGTCTTAAAAACAATCAACACAGTTTAAGGTACAACATTTTTAAATCTGTTTTTTAAAAATCTTTCAATTACAACCTGATATGCTTGATGTACAACTCATCAATACAGAATTTGAATTCCCAATAATATCCCACGCTTTCATCCCGTTCAAGTCTCAGCGGACACTCCAATTGGATTCCCAGTAACATCCCACGCTCTACAGAATTTGGATTCCCCATAATGTCGATTCAAGCTCCAATTGATGATTCGTGATTGAAAAACCATATAATTATACTGTTAGGGTTATTCAATTTTTACTTTCATTTTCATCTCCTGAATCGATTATCCATCTCTTCTCATACGATTAGGGTTCTCTCCCTGTCTCCATCAATCTTCTTATGTGTTATTCATATCTCAAAAGATTTTCTCTTATCAGGTAATGAAATATTCAACATGACATTCATACTTGTTTCTGATCAGAGATGACTTACACATCTTTTGTTTTTTGACTTACACATCTGCTTTGTTCAGGGTTCATCTTCTTGCTTTGCATCACTAAGTCTGCTTCTTGAACAATTTCTTGTGAAAGATCTTCAATGAATTGTAGGGTTCAGTTTTCTACTTTGTCCAGTAGTTTTATTTGCATCTAAGTTTTGTTGACGAATAGAAAATTATATATTGGATTTCATGTTTTTCTTACTTTTTTCAATCTATCCTCAATGCATAGATAACGTGTTTAAAGAAATGCCTCAAAAGGATTTCGTATATTGCTAATGGTGGGACACTTCCATTTCCATCATCATTAAGTGAAAATGAATCACAAAAAAGGAAGATATGATAAGTTCTGCAAAGTATGTAGAGATCTTTAATTAGTCAAAAATATGATATT